ATATACTGACGCGAAAAGTGTCAACACTAGCGCCACGGCAGAACATTTGTATAACATTCTTATCAATGGATTTGGGTCTGACGGATGTAACACCATGATGCGGGCAAACAACTCAGTTTCTTCTCGCCCTAGGAAGGCATAATACTAATAATAAATGTTTTTGATATTCTTCGAATTTGATTGTAAGTCAGGCTTGTAAAATACTACCTAGAATTTGTAAAAATATTACACGTGACATATATAACTTTTTTTTAAGAACAGTGCAAAACACCAAAGGTAACTTAATAATTTCAGCACTTTTGCGAAGTTAAGCCGCAAAAAATATTAAAAACATTGCAAACAAGATAGCGGTCACTTTTAAGAATTCTAGAGCTATGGTCAGCTTTAGAATTATATTTTACAAGAAGTGCCCTAGAAGAATATTATCATTAGAAAATATTTTGTATGCCCTATGAATTCATTTAAATAAAATATATTTTTACTTCTTATATTGGATTCACCCAAAAATTGTGCAACTTAATGAATATTTTCAAAGTATCTCAAAGCATCGTTCCAGCTCCAAATCATTTAAAACGAAATTAGCTGGCGTGGTAGAATTAGTATTCGGTAATAATCAGATTCCACGGTATTTATGTAACGGGTAACTTTAAGGTAACCTTAAAATCACAATTTCATTTGCACGGATGACAAGCTGATTCTTAAGGTGGACCTTAACTATGTTTTACCTAAGCCTAACATTTTTACCGCTTAAAGTTCTCCTTAACTCATCTTAACCTCAATGTGCATTTATTATTCATTATTATTATTATCCTATTTTATAGTTTTATGTTTTGATTGGTGTATGTTTTATATTTTGGTTGGTGTATGTTTTATATTTTAGTTGGTGTGTTTTATATGTGGATGAAGGATTTATTTATTGCCTTTTGTTAGTTTTCTTTGTGACTAGTAAAACCAAGATGAACAATTTTATTCACGACGATGATGATTTGGACGAGCTAAATTTGATTAATCATCGAAATGAATATTTCTGGGATTCTTTTCGCGATTTAGGGTGACAAAACCTACCGCCTTAAATATTTTAAACCTTATTGAGGCAGAAATCGAACACTTCTATGCCTTGTAAGTATTTATTAACCATAAATATGATAAAAATTACAATAAGATTTGTATTTGTTTTTCAGTAACAACAGTGTAGCCCCATGAACCAGCTATTGATTTTTTTACATCTATGTGCCACAGGAACACACTTATCTTGTGTTGCTGACTTTGGAGGCACACATATTTCAACAGTATCAAAAATTGTTAAAAGGGTTGGACGAGCTTTGGCTGGAAAAAATGAAATATTTATTAAGATGCCTGAAAGATTGGAAGACATTACAAGTGCCCAATATGAATTTTTTGAAATTACTCGTTTTTCTCGTGTGATAGGTGCTGTTGATCGCACTGTAATAATTGGCATTATTATTTTTAAAATATAAAGAATTTAACAAAAATCCCAAAAATATCTAATATTTTTAATATCTATTAAATTAACACAACATATTTATTAAAACCAAACAATTAGAAATAGTTCATTGTACTAGAAAATTAAAGGACAAATCGAGCGAATAATCATTAAAAATAAATAAGTCGAGTTTCTTTTTAAAATAATCACGTTAAGATTGATATAAATAGAGAGTCAATCGTTGACACAAAGAGACTCGAGGGGCGGCCGTTGGGCCAAACCTATGCCCAAAAATGTAACTTAGGAATTATTAGTATTTATTATATATAGTAAAGTGTGTGTGTAGTGGTTTTGTTTTCAAAGGTAATATCTATTTTATTTTAACATGGTTAAATCTCTTTGTTTGGGTTATGTATTTTAAAACAGATCATTAGTCTTTCTTCAAATGCCAATTCTTTCATTTTCGTCCCAAGTTTACTTATTAAATGTTTATCAGGTTTAAGGGTTTTATCATATAAAGAGTTTTTTTATATTAAAATGTTTTTGTGATGTAAAAGGTTTCTTTATATCAAAGTTTCATCATAGATTATATTATATTAGCATGGTTTATCATAACAAAGATTTACAATTGTGGGTAGTAATTTTTGCTATGTCTTATTTCAAAAATAGAGATTGTTTTGATTTATTGAAATTTGTTATTCATTTTTTACTTATATTTAAATATACGTGTTATTGTTTATTAACCTATTTTATTCTCACCTCTTTCCAAAAACCAGTAAGAAATATTCCGAGCATGTTAAGCCTCGGCGTTCCTACCCTTAAGGATTTGAGAGTCTTAAGTCAGTTGCCAAAACCGCTCGACATATGCTATTAAGGGATGTTTTTTTTTGTATTTTTATTATTTTCTTTTATTATTTTATTTTGCAACTGGCGAATGGATGTTCCTTCAGGACTCCAGGACCCTAGGGCTGGTGACAAGCGCTGCATTTATCCCTTAATAGTATAGTAACAGTAGCTAAAGACCTATCAATAGTTGTAAATGGTCTTTAGACATAACTGGTTGTTACATTTGGTGACGAGCGTTGGTCTTTAGTATTAAACTGGTTGTTACATTTGGTGACAAGCGGTGTTTTTTGATAGTATTTGACTGGTTGGAAGGAAAAGGGGAAATTTGTTATTAAGGATAAGGATAAGGAGATATATCAATTTTTTTACAGGCATTTTTTTTTCAAATTTTGTAATTTTTTTGGAGAGGATAAGTGCCTCTTAATAAATATAGTCACATCCTTGAGTGGATACAGAAATCAAGTGATAAATGCAAATTTCATTTTATTAAATAAATTAGCGTACCTGAATTGATAAAAAACAAAGATAAATAAATAGATGATAATTTAATATAATGTTTTAACTAAGTAGTTGTTTAAACAAAACATTGACATTGAAAATAATTGTAACAATAAACATTAGGGTCAAGTCGAAAATAGTATACAATTTTATTTATAATATTATATTTCTTTGTGTACAAAAAGTCATCATTTCAATAAAGAGAAAATTATTCAAAAGGAGAATTTTAATTTATTTTAAAATAACTATGATGTTAAATAAGAATTGCGAAGGGAAAATATTTAAATAGGTTGATGATGTATAAGTATATCTAGTTTAGATGATAAAGAATTTAAAGGTAAATATTGTCACTATTTACATAAAAATTGACATTGAACTATAATGAACTATAAATATTGTATTACAGTTTCGCAAAGTATTTATTTCAAAGTGCAGTGCTACCAGTAATTGGCGTAGGTCAGTATTATAGGTAAATGTAGTTCAGCGACGTACAGCGTTAATGAAAAATTGGCATTTTTTTAAATAACTGTTTTTTTTTCAGAAGTATGTTTTAAGGTTTAAATTTTGTGAATTAAAAATAATAATATAGATATACAGTGTTTTAGATTAAGATGTTTACCAGGCCATCAGCAATAGAGTTTGAGGAGAAAGAGAACGTGTTCTACATGCACGAGAAAGAAAGAAAAGGCGTACAAGTGCGAGATGTGCGAATAAGCACATCTTAAAAATATGTTAAAGATGTTTAAACTGCCCAAAAAAAGGCAGAGTAAATGTTGAGATATACAGTGACTAATACGTGATTTGTGTTTTAGAGTTGAAAGACAGGAAGAAAAAGAAAAAAGTCTGGGGACATCCGATCGAGGTACAATTCCGATCAACCCCCAAGCAGTGTCCACGACAGGACAAAACTAGAGGAGAGGTTGTCACGTCACGGTGTGAAGGGATAAGCTCTAAGGACCTTTTCTCCAGACTGTGATGGTGACAAATTAAGGTAAATAGATTGGAGGGAGTTTGGGGTCACATATGGATCGACGCAGTTTCCGACCAGCCCTAAACAACGCCCTTTGATGTCAGGACAAGATGTCCACAAGTGAAAAATAGGATTCAGACCGCTTTGTCAGGAAGCAACGCCGCTTTGCCAGGGAGCAACGCCGCTTTGCCAGGAAGAAACGCCGCTTTGCCAGGGAGCAACGCCGCTTTGCCAGGAAGCAACGCCGCTTTGCTAAGGAGCAATGCCGTATATTAGAAGAAGCCTCTCTATCAGGGAGCAACGCCGTATATTAGAAGAAGCCTCTCTGTCAGGGAGCAACGCCGATTTTAGGAGCCATTCCGCTCTACCAAGAAGCAACGCCGCTTTGCCAGGAAGCAACGCCGCTTTGCCAGGAAGCAACGCCACTTTGCCAGGGAGCAACGCCGCTTTGCCAGGAAGAAACGCCGCTTTGCCAGGAAGCAACGCCGCTTTGCTAGGGAGCAATGCCGCTTTGCTAGGGAGCAATGCCGTATATTAGAAGAAGCCTCTCTATCAGGGAGCAAAGCCGTATATTAGAAGAAGCCTCTCTGTCAGGGAGCAACGCCGATTTTAGGAGCCATTCCGCTCTACCAAGAAGCAACGCCGCTTTGCCAGGAAGCAACGCCGCTTTGCCAGGAAGCAACGCCGCTTTGCCAGGAAGCAACGCCGCTTTGCCAGGGAGCAACGCCGCTTTGCAATGCCGCAACACCGATGTTTATAGGAGAACGTCGTTCTGCCAGGGTGCAGCGACGTACAATAGGAGAATGCCGCTCTACCAGGGAGCAATAACGATTTTTTAGGAGCGAGACCGCTCTACCGAGGAGCAACGCCTCTCTACAAGAGAGCTACGCCGCTATGCCAGGCGCCACGACGCGCCACCAGACCAGGATACTGCAATGAAAAGAAGAAAGTTCCACAGAAGGAAGATAAAGAATTCAAAGCGAAATCAAAAGAAGAGTAAGGAGAAAATAAAATGTATATCAATAGGTGGTATAAATATATATGAAGTAAATAGGTAAAGTTAATAAACTTAATAACTGTACATAACGAGGCGAACAGCAGGTTGATAAGAGGGACCAATTTAGAACCATCACGGAATACGGACTGAGCAATCAACACATTCCACTTCTCCAGGGAATCACGTTCTCTCCAGAAAGAAAAACAGGTCTTATAAGAGCATTAGGACCATTAACCCAATGCATAATGCTAATCAACGAGAATACATACCCACAGCGCATTGCTTCTGCACTAAAAGAGACTCTAAACATGCTTCCAATGCACAACGAGATAATAAATCTTTTTAAAGAAGCCAGAGGTCCCGGATCATGCCAGGGAGTGCTTAAAGAGTTAGGTGACATCCTCATTATGACGACCGCTAGATCACAACAGAAATTCTATCTCCCAATTCTGCTAGCAAAACACATGTATGCTGAGAAAAGTGTAGATGTGAAATGGAACTTTGGAGGTGCTCAAATGATAACTCAGATTTCGGACTTCATGTCAAAGACGAAATTAATCATCAAATCTGGAGGATCGTCTTTACAAACGGCTGAGGTAATATTTCATGCCATCTTTGGAACTTATCTAGAAGACATTGGGGTGTTGGGAGAGATAACCACTAGAGGGGGATGGTCCAAACGTAAAGCCCTAAACCCTGTTTTCAAAGATAGAAGTAGTAAGCCCGCAATTGTTGTCACACCGGTAGTACATAAATATGTGTCCAAAATGGCTCAATCATTGTTGACGAAGACCTTAGGCAACACCGAGCCGTGTTACACCACTAGACCGTCATTTAATGGCAAGAGAAAAAGGACTTTCAATGATGCTTTCAAATCTTACCTGGATTCGGGCAAAATAATGTCGTCATACTCCTCAGATCCCATACAGCTTCAGCTGGCCCTAAGGAAATTGAAGGATGAATTAAGGAAGGATATGGAAGCGGGAAAGTTGGAAGATGTGGGGAACAAAAACTGGTTGGAGAGGGGCAGTGATGGAGTATGGGCTGCATCTGAAAAAGTTCCCGTGGAAAAAGGAATATCTTTCTGGGGACCGGGAGACTCTGTTTAACTTTCTTGTAAAAACGCTATTTTGTTCCATTGAATGATCATTATTAAAAAAAAAAAAAAAAAAAAAAAAAAAAAAAATGTAACAACCAGTTATGTCTAAAGATCATTTACAACTACTGATAGGTCTTTAGCTACTGTTACTATACTATTAAGGGATAAAGGCAGCGCTTGTCACCAGCCCTAGGGTCCTGGAGTCCTGAAGGAACATCCATTCGCCAGTGGCAAAATAAAATATTAAAAATACAAAAAAAAAACATCCCTTAATAGCATATGTCGAGCGGTTTTGGCAACTGATTTAAGACTCTCAAATCCTTAAGGGTGGGAACGCCGAGGCTTAACATGCTCGGAATATTTCTTACTGGTTTTTGGAAAGAGGTGAGAATAAAATAGGTTAATAAACAATAACACGTATATTTAAATATAAGTAAAAAATGAATAACAAATTTCAATAAATCAAACCAATCTCTATTTTTGAAATAAGACAGCAAAAATTACTACCCACAATTGTAAATCTTTGTTATGATAAACCATGCTAATATAATATAATCTATGATGAAACTTTGATATAAAGAAACCTTTTACATCACAAAAACATTTTAATATAAAAAAACTCTTTATATGATAAAACCCTTAAAACTGATAAACATTTAATAAGTAAACTTGGGACGAAAATGAAAGAATTGGCATTTGAAGAAAGACTAATGATCTGTTTTAAAATACATAACCCAAACAAAGAGATTTAACCATGTTAAAATAAAATTGATATTACCTTTGAAAACAAAACCACTACACACACACTTTACTATATATAATAAATACTAATAATTCCTAAGTTACATTTTTGGGCATAGGTTTGGCCCAACGGCCGCCCCTCGAGTCTCTTTGTGTCAACGATTGACTCTCTATTTATATCAATCTTAACGTGATTATTTTAAAAAGAAACTCGACTTATTTATTTTTAATGATTATTGGCACGATTTGTCCTTTAATTTTCTAGTACAATGAACTATTTCTAATTGTTTGGTTTTAATAAATATGTTGTGTTAATTTAATAGATATTAAAAATATTAGATATTTTTGGGATTTTTGTTAAATTCTTTATATTTTAAAAATAATAATGCCAATTATTACAGCACCCATATAAAATTTCAATCACCAGGTTCTTAATCAAATTATATAAACATTTTAATTTTATTCTAACAAAATAATTTTTATTAGGAGGGGAAGATGCAGAGGTTTTCAGAAATAGGAAAGGGTACTTTTCTGTAAATGTCCAAACAGTGATCAGCGCCAATTTAAAAATCTTAGATCTACTAGTAAAGTGGCCAGGTTCCTGCGATGATGTTACTATTTTTAATAATAGTCGACTAAAGGGACGATTCGAGAACAATGAGTTTCTAAATTCAACATTGTTAGGTAAGTTTTCTAAATAAATATTGTGATCTAGAAGGACTGTTTTTATATTTTTTAAATGTATTTGTAGTATATTTGACAAGAAATAGAACTATTTATTGTATTATTAACTTTTTTTAGGAGACAGTGGGTACTAACTTAAAACTTATTTGCTGACACCTTTATTACGACTAAATACACCTGCGGAGCAGCTATATAATGAGGCCCATATAAGGTCTAGAAATGTAGTAGAACGACAAATAGGTGTGTGGAAAAGAAGATTTCCCATTCTTGCTTATGGATGTCGTTTGAAGCTAGAAACAACTTTAGAAATAATAGTTGCCACTGCAGTTCTGTTTAACATTTGTAGGGAAAATAACAAACCAGATCCTCCTGATCCAGAAGATTTGCAAAGATTCTTGCATATAATGGAGCAAGATGATGTTCCACATATTGTTGTACAAGTTAATTACCATAATAATAATAATAATAATAATTATGGATTTCAAACCAGGCAGGAAATGATAAATTATTTTGCACTATTAAATTAGTTTTTTTTTTATTTCAATGAAGCACTCATAAAATATTAGTTTTCTTTTAGCCTGTCTTTTTTTTAATTTTGTACAATTGGAAAAATGTATTTGCGATTGTATTTTTTAATATACTTGTGGGTTACAATAATGTATTGTTTTACTATTTGTTCCTTGCAACTAGAGATTCCAATTACTAATATTTTGTATTAATTTTAGTTTCCTAATAAAATGACTATGTTAGTAATAGTATTGGTGAGATGAGGGTATACTTAAGTTATCTTTAAAGCTTCTAATATAAAGGTTCCGAATAAACAAAGATATTAAGTGTACATCTCTTCATCCAGTATACCTATAACACAATAATATTTCAAAAACGAACATAATTTTCATTGAAACCTTTAAATATAGCAATTTACAAAAATATATTAATTCATAATGGATTTTAATTTTTTTTAGTTCTAACTCTTTTGTTTCCATTTCCGTTAATATATATTTTTTTTTTAATTTCAAATAATTCTTCTCTTTTTCTTCTTTGGTCCTTCTCATTTTGGTAATATTCTTGTTTTATTTTTGACAATTTTAAATATTCCTCTGACAATTGTGAGGAATTCAATTGTTGGATATTTGGTCTCCTTCTTTTGGACCAGTTATTTTGTAGCGGCTCCGATGGGCGTTTTCTCAAATTATTTCCACAGAAATTGGTGCTGTCAACCTAGATTAAAGAAATTTCAATTTACTATTTATTGTGAATTATACATCATTATAATTTTAAGTGATTAACAGTCCAAACCCATACGTTTTATCACTTGATATTGAATATGAAAGTATGTTTTGCTTTCACTAAATAAACTATTGATATATCTTACATTTTGATGCTCCTGATTACTTATGGATGTAGTTGGAGTACCAATAATCTCTTCTACTGTTTCCTCCTAAAAGAAAAGTTTGATAATTATAATTCTGTAATCATGGAATACATTTAAAATAAAATATTGTTTAAGTTGATGACAATTAACTTAAAAACTTTTTACAATAGAATTTATATTTTTAAAGACATGACAATTTAGCTTATTGATCATTTAACTTATATATGTAAGAAAACACGATATTTTCATCAAATTAATCTATTTCCAAAATTAAACACAAAACAAGTAAATTCAACATTCCGTTGAGACAGCCGAACTATAAGTGTCCCCTTATTTCTCAGGCCAGATTGCCCTAGGAACTTAATACATAATACTAAAATAACAAATATGAGTCTTAGGGTAATAAATAACACATTTTAATGCCTTCGTCGTCACTCCGTTGAGAGGCAGGTACTTCGTCCAGTCCATATGTTTCGACTAAATACCATCGATCCAACGCTTTCGAATTTTAAATTCTTGCATATATTTATTATTCATGAAAACTTACTACAATCATAGGAGAACCATCTAGTAGAAACTCATTGCTTCTACTTGTACTTGCCTCTGCCTGAAACACAAAAATATTGTTGAGTTCATGTAGTTACAAACTAAACTGATTTTTTAACAATCTCACATAGCCACAGATACAGTTCAGCTAATTTGAAAATGAAATTATGTGCTCTACATTTTTACTTAGGCATTCATGAATCTGTTTCTTATACAGGGTGTTATTGAAATACACGTACATATTAAAACTGGGTATTGCGCAGATCCCCACTGAATGTAGAAAAATATTATTTTTTAAAAATACCCCTTATTAAGGGAGTTATTAATTTTTGAAAATTAATTCTAAAACAAACGTACTTCACTGATATGTTGAGGATGACCTATATAAATTAGGTTTATTTACCTATTTTAAACATCAACAGTAATTAATATGCAAGTTTTTGTCAGATGATAAGAAAACTAGTCTTGTAAGAAATAACCATGTTGCCAAGATTTTCGAATTAATTTCTATTTCCGAAGACTGGTTTTTACTACCCTCGTTATCAAAAAACTAGAATATTTGATAAATTATTGTTTTTAAACTATACATTTTTGAAACTATAGATTATTAAAATTTTAGTTGATTTACGAATCTGGCTAACACGAGCGCGTCATTTCCAAGTTGGTAAAAAGTGTTGTTACGATTACTTTTAAATATTTTTTTTACGATGCCACTATTTACGAATATTGAACTAACGGATATAGTGCTGGTTTATGGGGCAGCTGGAGAAAATTCTCGGCAAGCACAAATCCTGTATCGCGAACGGTTTCCAAATCGGAGAATTCCGGACCGTCGTACGTTTATTTCAACTGTTCAGCATCTAAGAGACCATGGAAAATTTGAGAGTGTCAATGCAGATCGAGGGAGAACAAGAACACAAAGAACATTGGCGGCCGAAGAAGAAATATTGGAAGCTGTTGAAAACCGGCCTCAATTAAGTTGTAGAAGACTAGGTCTTGAAATTGGAGTGTCCTCATTTGTTGTGTGGCGGACACTTAAAGAACAAGGTTTACATCCTTATCACATCCAAAAAGTCCAGGCCTTATATACAGGTGATGAAGAAAAGAGAGTGGAGTTTTGCGAATGGATGATTCAAAAATGTGTTGATATTCCTGATTTTCTAAAAATATTATTGTATACTGACGAGGCTTCATTCACTCGTGATGGCGTATTCAATATGCACAATACGCATATTTGGAGTGATGAAAATCCTCACGCCATTAGGGAAACTGGGCATCAAAGAAAATTTTCAATAAATGTTTGGGCTGGCATAATAGATCAGTATTACCAAAAATCTAGGACCCCAAGGGGTCCCCCCAGGTGTCCCATGGCCCTATTTTTGGCCTCCCCAGGGCCCCCTGGGGGTCCTAGATTTTTTTCTACTGGATTTTCGTTCTTCTCAGGTCAAAATACATAAGCATGGTGATTTTCAAGTTTCTAAAAAAATCTAGGACCCCAAGGGGTCCCCATAGGTGTCCCATGGCCCTATTTTTGGGCCCCCTGGGGGTCCTAGATTTTTTTCGACTGGATTTTCGGCTTTTCCGGCCCAAAATACCAAATAAGACGAATTTTCGTGTAATTTGGAGCAAAATTGGAAAATCTAGCGTCCACTTTTTGGGGTATTGTCCCAGAAATTGACACTTAGCC